CATGACAAGCGGCGGCCTCCACGCCTACCCTGGGCCGCGGGGCGGGCCGGCGGCCAAGCCCAACGTGATCCTGCAGATCGGTAAGTGCCGCGCCGAGATGCTGGAGCACGTGCGGAGGACCCATCGGCACCTGCTGACCGAGGTGTCCAAGCAGGTAGAGCGCGAGCTGAAGGGGCTGCACAGGTCGGTGGGCAAGCTGGAGAACAACCTGGACGGCTACGTGCCCACGAGCGACTCGCAGCGCTGGAAGAAGTCCATCAAGGCCTGCCTGTACCGCTGCCAGGAGACCATCGCCAACCTGGAGCGCTGGGTCAAGCGCGAGATGCATGTGTGGCGGGAGGTCTTCTACAGACTGGAGAAGTGGGCCGACCGCCTGGAGTCCATGGGCGGCAAGTACCCGGTGGGCGACGGTCCAGGCCGCCACACGGTCTCCGTGGGCGTGGGGGGTCCTGAGAGCTACTGCCACGAGACTGACGGCTACGACTACACAGTCAGCCCCTATGCCATCACTCCGCCCCCCGCTGCTGGTGAGCTGCCGGGTCAAGAACCAGCTGAAGCCCAGCAGTACCAGCCCTGGGGGCCTGGAGAGGACGGGCAGCCAAGCCCGGGTGTGGACACTCAGATCTTCGAGGACCCACGGGAGTTCCTGAGCCACCTGGAAGAATACCTGCGGCAGGTGGGTGGCTCTGAGGAGTACTGGCTATCCCAGATTCAGAACCACATGAATGGGCCAGCCAAGAAGTGGTGGGAGTTCAAGCAGGGCTCTGTGAAGAACTGGGTGGAATTCAAGAAGGAGTTCCTGCAGTACAGCGAGGGCACCCTGTCCCGAGAGGCCATCCAGCGGGAGCTGGACCTGCCACAGAAGCAGGGTGAGCCACTGGATCAGTTCCTGTGGCGCAAGCGGGATCTGTACCAGACCCTGTACGTGGACGCTGAGGAGGAGGAGATCATCCAGTATGTGGTGGGCACCCTGCAGCCCAAGCTTAAGCGCTTCCTGCGCCACCCACTGCCCAAGACCCTGGAGCAGCTCATCCAGAGGGGCATGGAGGTGCAGGACGGCCTGGAGCAGGAGGTTGAGCCAGCCGGCCCCCAGGTGCCCACTGAGGACGAAGCAGAGGCCCTCACTCCCGCCCTCACCAGCGAGTCTGTGGCCAGCGACCGGACCCAGCCTGAATAGAGGGCAGCCCAGGGCCCCCAGCCTGCCCACCACGGCCAAGCTGTGGCTTTTGCTAACCAGGACTTGATCTGGCACTGATACCCACTGGGGCATTCCTCATCCAACAGGCACCCTCAGCCTTCAGGCCCTAATCACAGACATGCCACCCAGATGTGTGCAAAGCCCTGAGCAGCAAGGAGCTCCTCCCCTGCAGGGCTCCTGCGTCACTCCACCTCTGTCTTCCTGGCCTGCCTGCCTGGGCCTGGGGGCAGCCCTACCCTCTGCACTCAGGCCACTGTAGAACATCTCCAGCTTCCTCATTCTGCTCCAGTGCTTCTGGGCACACAGGAAACCAAGTGTCCAGAAGGCAGAGACCGCTCAACAGGGCACCCAGGCAGAAGGCAAGGCAGAACCAGTGCTGAACCTCAACTTCTGGCACACCACCCACTCCTGGCAGACACTGCAGAGCCAGCTGGCACTCCCGTCGCCCTCCAGGGCAGACGGCCAGCCTTGGGCAGCACAACTCCCTTCTCAGGGAGCACCTAAGTTGCACATGCAGCAGCAGCAGCAGCAGCAGACCTGACATCCTGGCGCCTCCTGGCCCCTAGGTGAGTCCCCACCTCTGTGGCATCTTAGAGCTGAGAGGGTCCAGGGCCCAGTTCATTCTCCAAGTGAGCCCATTGAGGCTCCGAGGCTGCAAAGATGGGGTCGGGATGGCATCGTGGGGGTGCAGAGAGACCCCCAGGATCAGGAGTGGGCTGGGGTGGGAGGCAGTGCTGAGGAGCTGGCTCAGCCTGCTCACCGGGACCCTGTGCTTCTCATCTCAGATAGTGATTCATGCCAGACGCGCAGGGTCTGAGCTCTGCTCAGTGACTCAGCTGTGGCGGGCACACAGTCCCAGAGGGGCCAAGTCCTCAAATCCGGCTGAGGCAGCAGCCAGCACTCGGAGCCAGGAGAATCACAACAGGTAACAGCCCCATTCTTCCTGCCTCAGACTGCCCCTCTGCCATCCTGCCCAGGCATGCGCTCACCCTGAAAGCTGAGAGTCTGTGCCTGGACCCTGGGGGCTCCAGCCCAAGAACCTGCCCCCAGTCCTGCCTGTGAGCCCACTGCTCTGTTGCTGATGGCTGTGCTTTCTCTCCTTCAGGTCTCTGACTGCCTGGGAGTCTTTGCTGCTGAGCCTGGCACTGTCTTCCCCTCTCTCGAGGCGGCCAGCCCCAGGGCAGCTGAGAGAGGGCAGCTGCAGAGAGGAGGCATTCTGGCACTGGGCAGCACCCCAGCTCGGCCTGAGAGTTGGTGGTGAGGATGGACCGGCGTGAGGGCCAGGGCCTGCCGCTATGCCCGCCCCGCTGGCTGCCAGCTCCCTGCCCCTAGAGCCACTGCAGCCAAAGCCAGGGTCCACTACCCTGGCTCTTCCAGCAGGGAGTCCCTGCGTGCTGCGTGGCCATGGCTTCCTGCCAGATCCTTTTAGGAGCCCCGAGGCCAGGGCCCCAGCCCCTCCAGCAGCCCCCAGGCCAGCCCCAGGAGATCCTGAGGCCTTTGCTCCTGGGCTGTCCCAGGCTCTCTGTTTTGCCCTGGCCCTGCTTTTGCTCAGGCTAGACCCTGGGCCACTCATGTCTGCAGCTGGAGCAGCCCAGACTGAAGTTTTAGAGGTTCCTCTTTCTGCCTTGCCCATTGGGGTTCCGGATTCTGGGGACCAACTCTGCAGATGACCTGATGAATCCTCCACCCTGTGCCCCTGCCCGCCCCCACAGATTTTATTTTTGCACATAAGCCATAACTCATGCTCATTGGCCAGCACAGGCTGCAGGGAGGTCCTGGGGCCTGGGGAGACCTCAGAGGGTGTGCCTCCCCCCTACACAAACTACGCCTTGAAAGTCCTGCCAGGCCAGAATCCCTGCCACCTTACCTCGAAGACAGACTGTTTTTATAAGATTTTGTTAATAAAACACTGAAACTTGTGGAGTGTTCCTGATGCCTCTCTGGGGGTGTGGGTTGGCTAGAGGGGAGCTTTGAGGGAGGCCCTGTGGCCTGAGGGGTAACTGTGGAGCCTGCATGGTGCAGGGAGGGTCTGGGGGCAGGGGAACACTGCTACATTTCCCCCCTGCAAGAGAAACCCAGGGTCCTGTCTCAGCCTATAGAAACCTGAGGGCTGCACCCCAGAGACCATCCCCTGCAGCCCAGGCCCAAGGCAGTGGGGCAGGAGCCCTGTTCATTCTGAGCAGAGGACAGTCCCCAAGTCCTGCAAGAGTACAGGGTGTGCCAAGGCTGGATCCACAGCCTGCTCAGGCCCTGGAGCCGGAGGGGTGTGGCCAAAGCAGGGTCCAGCCAGGAGGGACCCTCGGTCCTGGCTGTGGGATCATGACTTGCTGTCTCTGGGCTTCCTTTTCCTCCCCTGCCAGGTGAGCTCTCCCTGCGAGGGGGAAGCCAGCCTCCTGGCCTCTGTGAGGAGGGAGGGGTGGCCTGTGGGGGCTGTGTTGCTCACACCTACTGAACGCTTTCAGGGCCCTGCTGGATGAGGGCTAGACTGACTGACCACCAGGTCATCTGTAGGTACTGCTCTGTGTAGGTGCTGGCCCATCTGATGGTGTTTCTGTGCTCACAGGGGTGCGGGGGGGGGGCAGCCAGGGCAGGGCAGCAACCTGCCCTGTCCAGCCTGGGTAGAGGTGGCCCTGCTGGGTGCCTGGCCAAAGCACAGCCCTCGCTGCACCTGCTGAGGGCAGGATGAAGCCTGCGGGGACACAGAGGAGGCCTGGGGGCCAAGGCACAGATGGAGTGTGTGTCCTGGCCACCTGCCACCAGGAAATGTCACCCTCCAGGCAGGGCTAGCAGGCAGCCCTGAGTGCAGCTCTCCACGGTAAAAGGGCTGCCTCTGTCCTGTTCGCCTTCACTTCTTGTAAAGAATGAAACTGCTGACAAGAATGGGGACAGCGACTGACAGGGACAGCAGGAGGGCCCCATGGTGGGACCACACTTTGTCCCCACAGGTGCTGCTCACATGAAAGGCGGCAGCCCAGGACGCCGCGTTCCCTGTCGTCAGTCACCCCCGTCGCTGACGAGGGCTGGAGGTGCAGCTCGGTGCCTCTGCTCCCAGAGCAGGCAGAGGGCCTGGCCACAGGGCGGGGGGCGGGGTGGCCCAACTGCCCACGGACCTCCCAAGTCCTGTGGCTCAAGTCCCCAGGCTAGAAGTCTCCCCAAGTAGCCTCCACCCTGGTCACCCTGCTCATGAGCACCACTGGCCACTCAGCCTCGTCTCACTGTGGGTCAGGGAGCCTGGGACACAGAGAGGGCCACCCTCAGGTTCTGGAACAGAGGCGGGACTGGGGGCCGGCATCTGGAGGCTCGAGGGCCCACCTGCAGACCTAGTTTGGTGGGAGGCCTCTGGCCAGGTGGGCACAGGCATAAAACCCTAGGGCTGCCCCATGCTGTCCAGTGCTTTTCTCTAAAATCACGTCTGCCTCGGTGAGCGGGCAGCAGGATGAAAGGGTGGGCGTCAGGCTGTGCGGGGCCAAGGGTCTCACCCGCTGTGCCCCAGGGTCCAACCCAGGAGCCTCCTTGCTTGCTGGAGTGCGGCTGCGCACTGGCCCTACCTCCGGGGTCTGGGAGAGCTGCAGAGGCGCGAGGCCAAGGAGGGGGCAGTGCCACGAGGCCCCGTGGACCCACAGGCAGCTCCTGAAGCAGGCCGCGTGGTGGGGCGGGGCGGGGGTGACGGGCACTGTTCAGAATGGGAAAGGAGGTGCAAGAGAATGCTGTGGGGAGCCCAGGTGGGGAGCCCAGGCCAGGGTGGGCAGGAGGCCATGGCCCAGTGGGCCCAGTCCTGGCTCCTCACCTCGACCTGCTGCAGATATGCCCTCTCCATGGAGCAAGGGCCTGTGGGCACAGAGACCACCACCCAGGATCTGGCCCTTCAGAGTGTGGGGCCGAGTGTTGGGCTGCCCCCTCAGTGAGGGTGATTCTTTGAAGGGTACAGACTGGGTCTGCAGGTGGGGAGCCTGGAGGTGAGCTGGGGGAGGAGGAGAGAAAGAGGAAGGCGGACGAGGGAGGGGGGCACAGAGGGCAGCATGGGAGGCCATTTGGAAACTGCATGCTAAACCCTCCCTGGGTTTGGCAAGACCAGTGCACCCCAGGGCAGTGAGGGTGACACGGGAGAGGAGGGCTGCAGAGGCACTGATGTCCTGTCTGAGTGACAGGTGACGAGCGCCTGCCATCAGTAGGCCCTTCCAAGCAGAGCCCCTTCCCAAAGATCAGAGAGGGGTGGGCAGGCCCTGCCCCTCCACCAGGGGTCCAGTGACGCTGGGAAGCCACGCCTGGCCCTGAAGGTGCATAGCTCCCCTCTGCTCCTCCTCCCCAGGTCACACCAGCACTTGGCTGGGTCCCACAGGCGGCAGAGCCACGTCCAGTCAGGATGCGAGGCTGTTATGGTCAGCCACTGCCCAACACGGAGGGAGGGGCTTCATCACCAGACTCCTGGGCCGGCCCCGCACTTGCTTCCTTGGTGCATGATGGGCCCTGACAGCGTCCTTTGGAGGTGACACCTGGGGCTCTGTTTTGGGGAGAGAGGAGGTCAGTCCTTCTCTGCAAGGACAGATACCTGATGAACAAATCACAAGGTCTGTGACTCTCCTCACTGGGGCCCAAGGCCCAAGGCCCAGCACTACCCAGACAGACACAAGCCCAGCCTCCCCTGACCCAGGATGGGGCAGCAAGGCCACAGAAGCAGGTGGAGGTGCCCAAAGAGGCCACCGTTCCCTGGCTGGCCTGTGGGAGCAGCCCAAGCAGCTCTGGCCCCTAGGTGTTCCTGGCCTGTCAGTGACCCGCTCCGCTGCCATGGCTGCAGGTTTGGGGACTCGGTGCCTTGGGAGGTGGTGTAGCCCATGGCTCACCAACGTGGGCTCAAAGGGCCCACCTGGCCCAAGGGGAGCACCTCCAGGGCGCCCTGACACCAGAGCCGCCCAGGATGGCCGAGGAGCCGGATGCCCGCCTGCCCCCCCTCAAGCCCATGCTGGAGACCTGGGCTCTGCTTCAGTGAGCCTCCGCCTGTGCCCCTGTCCTGGGCTCTGCTTCCCAGGAAGACGGCCCAGGACCAGCAGGAGGAGGCAGGCAAGTCTTGGTTGGGCACAGGTGTGCGCAGCACTGTGGTCCCCCGTGGTCCCTGGGAGACCAGAGGGCTGGCCGGGCTGGCGTGGACACCAGTGCCTCAGGGTGCAGGGCTCTGTCCCTGACCCCAGTCAGTAGTGCCCTGCAGGGGACACCAGCTGTCACCCACTCCAGGAGCCACCATCCTCAATGGCAAGGTGACCTCCTGCCACGGCCCACACTGAGCCCCACCTCCCACCCCTGCCAGACAAGGTGGTGTGAGCTTGGGTATCCAGTTGGGGGAGAGCTGAGACCCTGCCAGGAGGGCCCAGTGCCTCTTCAGCTTGGAGGAGGCTGGCGGGCACCACTGCTCCAAACTCTGGGTGTCCCCCGGGGGCCTTTGAGCCCTCTTTGTGGGGAATGGCCACAGTCTGACGAGCTCCTCTCCCCAGGGCCCTGCTCTCGGGCCTCCTCAAGGAGATAGTTCCCACCCAGGTGCCACTGCTATGAGCGGGCACCCCAGACCCCGCTGTTTGGAGTGACCCCCCGAGGAAGTCCTTGATGCCCCCACCAGCAGGATCCCAGAAGTGGCCTCACCATGAGGCATGTCCCCCTCTCTGGCCGGGACTCCAGGCTCTGCTGCGGGCTCTTCCCTGCAGGAGGCTGGGCTGTGGAGGAGGCTATTCTTAGCCTCGGCCATCCCTGTAATTATCTTGCCTCTGCTTTGCTCAGTACCTGGTAAGATCTTGCTGGAAAATGTCAGTTCATCTCTCCACACTCAGGGCCACTGAGGAACAAGCCTCCCCATCCCCACTGGAATGGGAGGCGGGGCTGTGACGGGGGCCAGGAACCTCCTCCATTCAATGCCCCCATCTCTGTCCACTCCAGAAGACGTTGGCCCAACTTAACAACCCAGGAGGACTTCACAGGAGGTTCCGACACCCCCAGCAGAGGGGCTGAGGATAGGATGGTGCCCCAATAGCCCTTAAAACAGGGCCTGGCCTCAGAGAGCCGAAACTCAGATTCTGGATGAAGCCAGAGGCTTGTGATCCACTCGGACCTCCACATCTCTGGGGCCCTCTCTGTGTGCAGAGAGCAGAGGGGGTGTGGGCTGAGCTTCCTGGGCTGGTAGTAGGTCCCTGGGGGAAGCAGGGACCAGATGAGGCAGGTTTCTCAGCCAGAGAGGGAAGGTGACCTGCTAGTCCCCCAGCAGTGTTGACTGGCCGAGTAGGGACCTGGATCCACCAGGGATTCCGATCCAGCCCTGGACCACCAGGGCCCCCCTGGCATCTGGACCTGCAAGACTGTGGGTGCCTGACTCCCTGGCTCCCAAGCCTCAAGGCCCACCAGGTTGCCCCTCCCCACTGGGCAGTGGGATCATCTGCTTCAGGCACATCCCCCTGGACCGGTCTTCCCCTGCAGCCCTCCAGCCAGCCTCTGCCCCTGAGGCCTTCTGCCCAGGCCAACCCCTGCTGTGCCAGCCCTGTTGCAGACCCCTGGGTACTGCCCCTAGCGAGGTCCCCTGTCCTGCAGTCCTACCTGTGGTGGGCGGGAAGCCCCCAGCATCCGCACGCCCCTCCTGTTGGGCTGCTGGCCTGGCATGACCTTGAGGTCAGGAGCCGAGCCAGCCCCCTGGCTGGACCCAGTGTACACTCACCAGGCCCAGGAGAAGGGTACGGGAGATGGCGAGAGCTGGACTGAGGACGGAGCCCGGTCAGAGCAATTGCCCCAGACGCCACGGCTTCTAATCCCACACGGGGAGCTGCCTGGAGGCTGCGGAGGTTGGGGGTTCAGGCTCTCCACCGAGCCCCCGCAGGGAGCTAGCCAGCCCTTCCATTGAGCCCAGCGGGGAGCAGGGCAGGCTGACCTCCAGACCCCAAGAAGA